CCACCACGACCATGACCACGACCACCACCACCATGACCGCCGCCGCCGCAACCGCCGCCGAATTCATCACCGCCGGTACAGGGTGAGGCCACTAGTCACATATATTTACTTGCAAGTTCCGTAGCTACAGTTTACTCATGCAATCCTATGAAGGCAAGGCACCCTGAATCCTAAACTCTAAACCGTAAACCCCACCCCCGTGGTCCTGAACTGCTAACCTCAACGCTAACCAGCCCCCCCAAACTATTTGTTTAAAAGCAAGGCTCTCTAGCTTCGAGAGCCACCACTTCGCTGCATTGCAGTTTGAAAGAAGCTCCGACCTGAGAGTTGTGGGGTCTAAGAGGATTAGGTTATAGCTATATGGTTAGACAGTTAAATAATTGCTTAGTTCTGTAGTTCTATAGCTCTCTATGGTTAGGTATCTAAAACTACATAGTTATACGACCTGAGTTTGTGGGGTTTAGGGTTTAGCGTTTGTGGGCTTCTAAAAAATACAAAAAGAGCATGTATAGCTTTCGTTTAGAGCAAAAAATGATGATTGATAGTGATAATGGGTCTAGTTATAGGTACGGGAATTGATTGCAGCAGTAGTAAGAAAACAATTTTAAAGAAAGGGCTCAGAATAGGTTATCTGGGGCTGAGAGTGTTTATGTTTCATGTATGGGGCTTGGGTTAAGGGTTTGGAGTCAAGTGTTTGGAGTTGAGGGCTCACAGTTTGGGCTCGGGATAGACGGGAAGAGTTGAGAGCTTGGGGTCAAGGGGTAAAGGGTTTGGGAGTAGATCCCTCAACCCCGAACCCTAAACCGTAGTTGTCAAGGCATGTTAGGGACTGGAAAGTTTTTGCCCTTTTTTGCAGCGCGTACGATGGAGTTTGGGCGCCCTATTGGGTGTTGAAGATGGCACTTTGAGGGATGCTTGCTTTGGGGGTGAACAGGTGCCATTAACAGGCTATGGGGTTGAACAGGTGCTAGTAATACTCAAAATTACCATTTATTGGGTTTGAACACCGGTGTTCAGGGTCTTTACACTAGGAAGGAAATTGAAAGCTTACTGCACTTACGTATGCGTGTGTGTATGCTTATATGTATGTATATGTGTATATATTATAAGTATGCATGTATGATCATGTATGTATATACGCATATATTTATCTATAACACACTGCCCAAAAAGAAGACGTGAACTCTAATAGTAATCTATATCGACAACTCGCTAGCTACGGCCCTTGTTCATCCTTGTTTCGGGGCCAGAACGATAGCGTGACACCAAAGATGGCAATCTTGGAGGAATGCGGAGCTGCGAACATATCTTGTTACAGGAGGTAAGGTGCAGTCATCCAAATAGTGGTGCAGTGCTAGCATGTTTTTTTTGGTGAGTGAAAGGTGTTATGAGACAACTGATTTCTTATGTACTTGAGCACAGCACGCAGGGGAAGCTTCGCTATGACAGTTGCGCCACGAATTAGCTCTGATTCCACATTTGAGTAACGTTTTTTTTTAAGCCCAGTAAGATTATATTCCTTATATAAAAGACTATACCCCAAAAGGAGGATATAGTCTTACTCTATAATGGGTACCATGCTATCCCCCAATAAAATACTACTCATTTTGCAGAGCTGTAGAGCAATTGCTGCAAACTGATTCTGGGTTGTCCCTGGGCCGTTGGGTTAACTGCAAGCCCCACAGCATGTTTTTTCATGCAGGTAATAATTGCCCCAGTTGAGAAGGTCAAGGCTTAGCAAAGCCCCTGATGTAAACCCTAGTCCATTAACCCTAGGAACCCAGAACCTGAAGCCCTAAATACCAAACCCTGAACCCGGAACCCTCAACCCTACATATTCCTATATAACCTCTACATGGCCATCTGGAATTGAAGGGAACCCTAAACCCTAAACATTAAGCCTGTACCAACGCAGGCTCGCGGCCCTGAAGCTGTGTGCGCACTGATGCTCCAGGAGCCATCGGAATCAGGGCAAGCATCAACTTTCTTCCTTGGTGTGTTTTAAGTTTAGGCAGTTTAGGGTAAGGGCAGTTGAGGGTTTAGGGAGTCTGGGCTTAGGGAGTTTCATGTTTAGGGAGTTTAGGGTTTAGGGAGTTTAAGGTTTAGGCAGTTTAGGGCTCATAGGGCTTAGGCTTTAGGTGTTTGCTCCTTGGTGTTTTGCTTAGAGGTTCATGGGACTTAGTAAATACGCATGACCGGGGGTCTAATGGTATAACGATACGTATAACTCGGGCAGCCCATATAGGTCCAGGTTGGGTTTTTAAAGAAGGGTTATAAGCCCAGGTATAGGTGGTTACTAAGTTCCATGAACTGTTAAGTAGGGCTCAGGGTTTGGGGTATTTGGTACCCCAAGCTCTATACCTTTGCATCTTCGACTTCTGCTCTCAGACCTAAACCAAACGTATATTACACTTCAGAATCAGGAGCAACGTCTGCCTGCTTAACCTAACTGCTCGCCTTGTTTTTGTTACTTTAAGGATCCTGGTAGGTACATTCCTATTATATCCCTACTAAATTCCCACTATATTCTCGGAGTTCCCTGCTCTGGGGTTCCTATTAGAGTCCCTTTAGTGACCAGGCGGTCCCATTCCGTAGAGGCCGTACTTCATAATCACTTGGGAGCATGGGTTCTTCAGCATCTTTCCATACCGACTAGCTTAGGATCAACTCCATCCACGGACAGTCCCTTTAAGAAGCCATATAGAACAAGCCATATTGCTATGATCTATCCGGAGTACCCTACACCCGAACCGCTGTAGATATCACATGCCTTTAAATACTCACCGTCACCGGTTTTCGTGGACTGTTAGCGTACGAGGCCCGTCCTCGGGGTGGTTACCTAGGTGGCCCATAATCATAGGACAGCGAATGCGGGCAAATTTGAGAGATCCATCCTCTTGCTTGCTAAAGCCCAGAATTCTACAACCGCTGTTGCCTAGAAACTTTCACGCGAATCCCTGAGCCCCAAACCTAAGCCCTCATCCCTGAACCCTGAAGCTACAGCTACATTGCCCAGATGAACCCTGCAAGCGGACAGTCTCTAAGAAAACGACCGATGTGCTGCTGAAGCTCTTGACATAGTCAAGATCGAAGACTGCGGCGTCCTCCTGGATGTCGCCTGCGCTGGGGTGAAGGTTTAGGCCTTAGGTTTTACAGGGTTCAGGGCTATGGACGGTATACCTTCCGTAGGATTCGGAGAGACTACAGGGTTCATCTAAATTGTGGGGTTGCAAGCTTTCTGGTTTGGGGTAAGAAGGTTGTTGCATGCTGCAAGCTGGAAAGGGCAGGATGGAACACTTTGGCACTCAAAGATCTACAGCTCCACCCACCCCCATGCGAAGAAAAATCCTTGATACGTCTGGGGTTTAATGCTTAGGTTTCCAAAGCCCTGGCCAGAAACCTGAAGCCCAAACCCAAAAGCCTAAATCCTGCTCCTTCAATCCGGCACACTGAATCGCAAGTCAAAATCATGTGTATCCGGCTGGGAATCCGCAAGTCCTGGCCCTATTCCCCAAGTTCAACACGCCAAAAGCCCGGAATCCCTAGACCCTCAGCCCCGAAGCTTACTTCTTTAAAGCTAAGTCTTTAACCCTGAGCGCTCAACCCTAAACCCTTCACCCTAGCCTTCAACCCTCAACTCTAATCCCTGAACGCCCTCATCGCAACCCTAGGCCTCGACCCATTCTCGCTCAGCTCTTAATTAGTCTCAGAAGGCACAGCCTGAACCTTCAACTCCCAAGGCTATAGGGTTTAGGGTTTAGGTGCAAACTCTTAGACCCACGTAGGCCTGCATACCCTACCCCTTTTCAAGGTACCTAATCTTGTATATAGAAGATGCGAAACATAAGGGGTAGGGTATAGGCTTCTCGGTAACCCACCACACCCAAAACCCCTGTCCCCGGCCGTCAAGTTCGGCAAGGCGATGGGCAACCGCGCCGTCTGCTTCGCCTTTATACCTTTGGTTGCTGAGGTATACGTGAACCCGAAAATACTGGCCAAAGACCAATAACCCTAAGGGTCCAAGGACCCAAATAAACGGGCTTTAGGACCCAAATACCATTAATAGTATAGTATTTGGGCCCTGAAGCCCTATTATTTGGGTTCTTGGACCCTTAGGGTAAGCAAAACAAACAAGAGGCCAATATTCTACGTCGTATTTTTGGATCGCAGGTAGGGATTAGGGTTCAAATTGTGGTGTTCGGGCTTAGGGCCTGTTTCAGGTTTATGGTTCAGGTGCTTGGTTGAGGGTTCAAGGGTCAGGGCTTCGTTTTACACTACATGTGGTACCGTATTTTGGCTTAGGATGTCCTGGTCGCAGGTTTAGAGTGCTTCCTGCAAAACAACTGTCGACCTCCAGAGAAAACTTACTTGCTTAGTTTGCAACCCATGCGCGTACTTCTCACTGCTGTGGGCGGCTTTTGGGAGTAGACCCAGATGAGCGCTAAAGCCCTAAACCCAAAACCCTGAACCCAACAACCCAAAACCCTGAACCCTAGATCCTATAAACCCTAAGCCCAAGGGTTCCTGGAAGGTCTTAGCTGCCTTGCGGTTCACAGGAGTCTTCCTCATGCATCCTGGGATAAATGGGGTTTAGGCTTAAAGTCTGGGGTTTAGGGTTTAGGGCCTGGGGAAGACGCTAACAAGATCCTGCGCAAGCGTGCAGGAAGGTAGCCCAAAACTAGGTTCAGCTGGAGCACATCAGGACCAGCGTTTTCTACCTGAATCCCCAAAACATTACATTGGGGTTATACGAGGGTTATATGGGGAAAATGGAGACGAAAATGGAAACGACTATATTATAGTAGGGTAGATAATGGGATTATATAGGGATAATGGAACATGGTCCTTTGTAGAAGTCAATTTGAGCCATGATCGCGATGAAACCCCCATATTCAATCCCGGCATAAACGCTGTCCGCCCCCGACGCTATCTACGAAAATCAATCTAGCTTTGCTGCGAAATCCAAGTTCGAGAACCATCCGGAATTGTGAATCCTCATTGTGCGTACAAAGCTCAATCTCACCAGTACATTCTCACTGGTACACTCCACATCCCAAGCAAGTCTCATGTGCAGAGTTTCTTAAGCTTGCCCTGCAAACCCTTAGTACGAACCCCTATCGTCCGCCTCTTATCCTTGCAATTGTTTTTCAAATGTGCATATATCTATATATATACCCTGCTTGTCTTCGGCCT